TGGGGTGAATTCCCCCAATTTCATTTGCTCATGAAGCCCAAGGAGCTCCTCAACAAAATCTGATTTGTAGGAAATTCTTGTGGGTTATAAACTGAAATAATAACGGAATAAAATAACGGGGAATGGCAACGCTTTTCTCTTTGCCTTACCTGGGCTCTCTGGTGATAAATTGAATTTTCTGCTTTGCTGCAGCAGCTGGAGCACGGAGTGGAGCAGCGGGATCAGCTCTGGGGGGATGGATTCCCCTGGATCCTTTGGGATTTTGGGGATGCCACAAAATTGGGGGGTCCCAAATCCCCGGGGGGACCCCAAAGGAGGCACCTGGAGCAGCACAGGGGAGCTCTGAGTTATGATCTTTTATAACCTTTTACATTTATAAAAAAAAATTATAATTTTTAATAATATTATAGATTTATAGTATTTAAATTATAATACTATAAATTTTTATAGTATTTAAATTTATTAAAAGATTATCATCGTTTAAATGATAAAATTTATATTATAAATTTATAGTATTTACGTTTATTAAAAGACAATCTCTTTTAAACGATAAAATTTTTATTATGAATTTATAGTATTTACGTTTATTAAAAGATGATATCTTTTAAACGATAAAATTTATATTATAAATTTATAGTATTTACATTTATTAAAAGATTATCATCTTTTAAATGATAAAATTTATATTATAAATTTATAGTATTTACGTTTATTAAAAGATTATATCTTTTAAATGATAAAATTTATATTATGAATTTATAGTATTTAAATTTATTAAAAGATTGTATGTTTTAAATGATAAAATTTATATTATGAATTTATAGTATTTATTTATTAAAAGATTATATCTTCTAAATGATAAAATTTATATTATAAATTTATAGCGTTTACATTTATTAAAAGATGATATCTTTTAAATGATAAAATTTATATTATAAATGTATAGTATTTACGTTTATTAAAAGATTATCATCCTTTAAATGATAAAATTTATATTATAAATTTATAGTATTTACATTTATTAAAAGATTATATCTTTTAAATGATAAAATTCCATTTGTTATTCCATGTAAAAATTCGCCATTCCATGTATAAATTCAGTTTGCTATT